ATATATATATATGCAAAAATTATACAAATATTATATACTTTTTTCGCTACCAAATGTAAATAGTTTCTGGCACGGGATAAAAGTGATAATACAACCTGGTTATTCGTTTGCTTCAATAATATGCCTAGAAGTGATCCCCGGTAGCTCTATTTTTTCAAATTTTAACTTTTCTTTTTGAAAAATTCAACCAAGATTTTTAAATGCTAAATATACAAAAAAAATATACAAATTTTATACGTTTTTTGAGCTATTATTTTTATAGCGGCTATACAATGTCATTTTCTCATTGAAAACTGGCACAGAAGGAGATATTTTCAAGGTTAAAATTTTAGAAGACTATCTAAAAATAAGGAATTAAAGTGATAATTTCCGTTAGCCAATAAAAGGAGAGGAAACATTTTGCTTCAGAGCAGAAGATTTGCTTCATGAATCAGAGTTGGGTAACACTGTTAGTTTTTGAACATATTGTGTCAGTGAGACTAAAGGTGCTCCACTTTAGCATACTTAAGCGACTAAATATGCTCAGTGTTATATTTGAGGGACCAAAATAGACCTACCTCAAAGATAAGGGACAATATTGGCCAAAAACTCTTGGCGTGATTTAGCCTCGAAAAATTGCTAGAACCTGCATAAGTTAGGCTAGAATATATTTGTGTATTATTTTATATGTTGCAGAATATAAAATAACAGTACATGTAATTAAAAGATGCTAATAAGAGTATCTAATTACAAAATATCGTTAACTAAAAATTACACCGGGTGGACCTTTTTAAGACCATCGTTTAAATTTTGGCCCTGGTAAGACAAGTCCTGGAAAATAGCCCCCGATAAGAATTTTCCATTATGAAAAATGATGGTGATTACCAAATTTTATGACAAATTTTGGTAATCACCATATGAAAATTTCTAGCGATTTTCAGGTTTTGTAGAAAATCCCGATGATCACTATATAAAAAGTTCTGGCAATTTTCATATTTTATGGCAAATCCCAGTGATCGCCATGTGAAATATTCTAGCGACTGCTAGGAGCACTTCCAAAAATTCTGATCGAAGGTTATTTTTTCAAGACTTCTTTTACTAGGGTCAAAATTTGAACAACGGTACCAAATAATCCTATTTGTGTAGATCACCCTATCGTTTAAATAGGCAACCTCACATAACAATGGCTATATTGTTTTCATCGCATAACAATTCTCAAATTGTTATTTATTGCATGAATAACTCATACATTATACATCTTATATATCATTGGATTCATCGGTCCAAAAAAAAAAAAAATTTAGTTCATGAAATTATGTTTGTGAAATTCAGAACAAAATTTGAATTTAAATTTTGAAAAGAGTTTTAAGTTAAGTTATAGTTTGAAGGTGTAATTCAAGTGAACCTTTTCGAACCTTCAATTTTTATTTCACAAATTTTCAAACTTTCGCAAAAATTTCTTTCATCTAACTATAACTTTCCAAATACATTGAAATTTTGACAAACTCTATTTCCCAATTTAAATTTCAAATAATTTTGTTACCTCAACTTCATAAATATTTGTCAAAACGAACGACCCAAAGTATTAGTTGATCACAATTCACAACTTGTTACCTTCATTGTGGATTTGTGGTCCTAAAAAGTGTAAAATGATTCTTTTCTTTGTTCAAAAGGAGAGGCCAATGGTAGAGGAATGTCAAATCACCCAAAAAAGAAATGAAAAAAATAGAATAATATAAAAAGAAAAGGCTAAGGGAGAAAGAGTAGGAAGATGGATTCAAATTGAAGACAAAACTTTGTAGGACTTTGCCATTGTGGTGATAGCTAGAATCTTATTCTTCAAAAAAATAGATACGAATTTAAAGCTTTAAGATTACAAAAAAGTAGCTTATATTACCAGCTTAGTTGTCAATTTTATACTGCCTTACATACAGCTAATTATGCACTCATTATGAACCATCTTTACTTTGAAGGGGAGCCTTGGAGTAACTGGTAAAGTTGCTGTCATGTGACCAAGAAGTCACGGGTTCAAGCCGTGGATACATCCTCTTGCAGAAATACAGGGTAAGGCTGCGTACAATAGACCCTTGTGATCCGGCCATTCCCTGGACCCCGCGCATAGCGAGAGTTTTGGAGTAAATGGTAAAGTTGCTGTCATTTGACCAGGAGGTCACGGGTTCAAGCCGTGAAAACAGCCTCTTGCAGAAATCCAGGGTAAGGCTGCGTACAATAGACCCTTGTGATCCAGGCCTTCCCTGAACCCCGCGCATAGCGAAAGTTTAGTGCACCGGGCTGCCCTTTTTTTTATCAACAATCTTTGCTTACCTTTACTATATCTTTGGTCCATATTATTTGCCTTTAAGATAATAAGCTTAATTATAAAAATATTTATCTAACTACCAATTAAGTTTTTCTTTAACTGTCCAATTAATTATCATTCTAATACTTGGAGTAGTGAGAGTAAATTGAAAAAGAAACGTAATAAATGCGTGCATGCTTGTATTTCTAAAAGGTACGTCAAATATTTTGAAACAACTTATCAATTTGCCAAAATGACAAAAATATGGTGTGAAGGCAGTCAGACGGATTTTGGATTTTTATAATATGGGTGTCCACTAAACAAAGGAGTAAATAAAGTATTCAGTGTAAATTGATACCTGTTCCTCTAGATAAATAATTCAGTATTCAACCAAGTGCATCATTTAGTCTCTTGGAACATTGGGTACCAGCATATAATATTAGATCAATTCTAAAAACTTTGTACATATAATACCTAGTTTGACAGAGAAATCATAAATTCATGTGCCCCATATATATATATATATATATATTAGGCTATAAATCTGCCCTGAAGGTAGTATTATGGCTTCAACTAATAATATTGGATTAGGAAAAAGTTTAGCTCTTTTTACAAGTGAGATTGAGTAAGTGGTAACTAAGTAGGGGGTGATCCACAAAAACATAAACAATAGTTTCTATATAAATTAGATATGTGTTAAGAAAATCATTAAACATATAGGGTGTGTTTGGTATAACCGAAATAATTTTCCAAGGAAAATATTTTCCAAATGTTTTCTTGGAAAATAAGTAGTAATCTTATTCATTTTTCGGTGTTTGGCACGCAAATTAAGGAAAATGACTTCTCAAGAGTATTCATAAATAATTTAGATATAATAAACATGAAGCCATAAACTTTCAAACCAACAACCTTCCGAATCCACAAATTTCATAAACTTTCGAACTGCTAAACTTTCGAAATCGCGGAATTTCGAACCCGAAAACTTTATAATTTCTAAACCCGTAAACTTCCAAACACATAAACCTCCGAACTCATAACTTTGGTACTTGTAAAATTTTGAACCTTCAAACTGATAAAAAAAAACTAAAACTGAAAAATATATTTAAAAAATATTTTTTTCGGGAGGGGGGTGGCAGGGGGAGGGGCAGAAAAATAAAAAAGCAAAAATTTGAAACTACAAAAAAAAAGTAAAATTTTTTTTTGTACGAGGAGGGGGGTAGGTAGGGGTAGGGGGTAGAATGGGGGTGGGTGGTGCAGAAAAACGAAAAAACCAGAAATTTGAAATTGCAAAAAAAAAAAATAAGGTAAAAGTTTTTTCTTTTTGGCGGGAGGGGGGATTGGGGTGGGGTGGGGTGGTGAAGGGTAGTAGGGTGGGTGGTAATAGAAAAACTGAAATTTAAAAAAAAAGCCTTTTTTGGAGAGGGGGGTGGGTTGGTGAGGGTGGGGAATGTTAGAGAAGGAGTTTTGGAAAATGTTTTCCCTTCTCTTGATAAGGAAAACATTTTCCTCCAATGGGAGAAAAATGAGTTGATAAAGAAAATGTTTTCCAAAACATTTAAGCAAATCAAACATGGAAAAATTGAAAA